TATATATCAAATCCCTTAACCCTTCTCGGCAAGTAGCCCTCATTATTCAAAACACGACTGGATAGCCCTTGTTATCCTTTATTAACTCTGTCCATTTCCATCTAGTTGATCTTCATCCCGCTGCTGGAAATTAGACAAAGCTTTCCTAAATACCAAATGACACGAAAGCCAAAAACTTAAATAATGCATTTACAAATAAACTTATGGGATAGGTAAATGTAAAAAGTCCTAAACCACACAAATCATGATATCGTGTTGTATATTTTCTCAATTTCAATAATTCAAGCATGCTTTACACGAAGGGACTCACTGAGATCATATTTACAAGGAATCAAACAGCTCAGGCAGAAGCATAGATATCACGTCCCTCTTCTACAAATTACAATGTAACCTTGAGAGAACCTATTTCCAGTATGTCTAGGTCATAAAAATATTATCGAGCCTTGTCAACACATGGCATTCGCGCTCCAAATCCATGAAGAATGATATGGGTCTCGGAAACACTTTGGTTTCCTGTTCCAAGTTTCGTGAAGAATCATGAGGGTCTGGTTAACATGTTGAATTCATGCTCCAGGACCCATGAAGAATCATGTGAATCGTCGATGATCAATCTATACTCCCTGAAATAGCCATCATATGTGATTACATGTATTGACGCCCTGCAAAAAATCATATGGATCTTAGTATACCATCTCTTAAGAAATTAAAAACTAAGTTAGATTACCCAAAGCATCCAGACACAAGAAAGGAATTTTCCAATCTACAAAAAAAAAAATATTAGACCTTGCTACGACATTCTCCGCTTCCAAGATTAGAAGCATAATTTTTCCTACTTTTTATCCTTAAAAAACAAAAAAAATTAAAATAAAAGTGTGCATATACTCACCATATAAAATGTATGTACCATATTAAAAGCCTGAACCCCTATATAAAAAGTCCCACATACATACCAGACCATGTGTGTATGTGTATTATTAGAGAGAGCAAGAGAGAGAGAGAGAGAGAGAGAGAGAGAGAG